TGAGCTGGTTGCTGCCCAGGTTAAGTTCCCGAAGGTTGGTTAATTTCCCAATTGATGGCAATACATCAGTCAAGTTATTCGACCGCAGGCTGAGAACGTCCAGATTTTGGAGGAGGAACACCTCCCCAGGTACGTCGTCAAGCAAGTTATTCGATAAATATAGGCGTAAAGCCGGTACTAAGGGCTGATACCGTAGCGCATGGTCATGTTTTGGTTGTGTTGTGTGGTATTGTAGAGGTCTGAGTGTCGGAGTCCGGATCTGCTGCAGTTGCATTGTCCTATTCCCCCAATTAACTGCCGTAGACCTGGGATACATCCCTTCATTCTGGAACATTTCAAGATGAACACCCAGGAGTGGCTACTTACGAAAGGTCAACGACCTCTCCCCCTAACTCGACGCATGCCATCACCTTTTTCAAAGCGGCTTCTTGCCAAGCATGATACCCTTTCAAATTTTGTGGCTGATTCTGCCTGCGCAAGGTTTGGAAGTCAGCATTTGCCGTTCAAGACCGGGTCCAAGTGTCTGAAGAGGTGCAGAACCCCCGTATCTACCCCCGAAGATATACCTGGTCCTCAAAATGGCAGATTCACATACCAATACGGGAACACAGGGCCGTCAAAGCTGTCCGGATCTTCGGTAGTTTGTATGGCCTTATGGACGAGAGCCACATATCCGTCATCGTCGTGTGGTTGATTCCCCTGCCCAGCGCCTGCTTCATAGGCTAGTTCCCCATCTTCGCCATCAATTGATCCACCCACCACCATGACCCGTAGTGCCTTCCGTACGGCTTCATCCCGATCAGCTTCGGCTTCGGCTTCAGCTTCGATTTCATCACTCATTACGGTCTCATCACCTGGACCATCCCCAGAGTCAGCACGCCTTCCACAGGGTAGGGTCCCGAAGTCTGAACGAAAGTTTGGGGATCACCCACTGCCCAGCCAAACACCACTATCAAAATTCCTCTGAAACGGCCCCCTAGGTTTCGGCATCTTGCGCGGTGATCGTTCAACTTTAATGGTTCTCAACCCTCGCTCTTCCTCATACCACGGTCCTCGATGCAGTCTTTTATGCCTATGCTCATCGATGTAGAGCTCGGAGGAGGAAGCGAGGAGATCATCGCTGGAGAAAAGCGGAGCATCACTGGAGCTGGCGAGCCATTCGTCACGTTCACGTTTCTTAGTCACGGAGGGTGTGGTTCTAAGCAAAGCCGTCCGTCAGCTTCGGTTCGTAATCCTGAGGTGGTACCATCTTTGGGCAAGAGCCCCTCGAAGATTGCAGGTCCCTGGGATCGCTACCTTGTCTGATGCTTGCTTTTCTGGGAGGAAAGCCCTTGGGGAGGTGTAATAGAAAACTCACCGCTCGGTTCTGGCCGGTAATAGTGGTAATGTAGCGGCTCTCAGCCTCTCGGTACTGTCCTGCAGTTCATCGTAGAGATCGTAGGTGGTGTTTGAGGCTATGCTATCGAGAGATTCTGAGGACGTTTCCCCAATGCTGCTGTCGAAGACCTGCCATCCTCGCGATCTGTTTGGCAAGTTCATCTTCGCGCTGCGGGTCGTTAAAGCAAGGAATTGACCCAGGCGTGAGCTTCCCAAACGAACGCGGTGCAAAAGTAGTCCTTAATTTCTTGACTTAATTTCGCGGTGTCATTATTAACATGTGCCAGTTCTGAAGCCCAGTGCCCCACAGCGGTGAGTCCTTGCCCGAGCAATCAATTCTCCGTGCAATTCTCACCAACCAATTGGCGCAGCTTGAGATTAGGCATTAATGAAGAGTTTATAGATAGCAATATCATGTGAGTGCGCATGAAGAGAGAATCGACTGTTTACGACGCGTGGGACGAATGTTGACATCTCAGGATCGGCAAACTGTGACGTAGGCTTGGCATTGTCTTGGCATCAGACAGGGGTCTTAAAGCCTCTTCAAAGCTTCTGGAGGTACTCAAGGCTTTTTTGGGATTTTCTGTCACGTTTGATCTAGGATGTAATCTGAATTTAATATGCTAAGGAGTGTGCTATAGACCATAAGGAATCAGCTGAAGAATTGGAAGTGCTTTCCCTCAAAGCTCTTTTCCCACCAGAAGACCGGTACATCCTGTTAGTAAATACCTAATCTCTAAGCACGCAACACAGCAAACCTGCGAAACTTGGATGAGTACACTCGCTCCTTCTTGGCATTTTTGTCATCGTCAAGATCGTCAACCTCCTCATCGTTGTTCCCTTGCTCCACCTCGACACCGGCTGCAGCCTCTGGGCCCAGCGTCCCGAGCTGGATGTAGTAATTCTATCGAACGAGTAATCAGCATACTCGAACGAGCTTGGAAGTCAATATCACCCCTTTTGGGGTGCAGCTTACATCGACCTTATTTCCAATTCATCGGCGGAGGTCTGGACAGCCTCCTTTTGTGATTTTGCTAGAAAGGCTTTGGCCTTGTCGCCCAGAGTGTCGAAATATGGCTGTAGTGCGTCGGCCAACTGCAGTGAGACGCATTGTTAGTATTTGGCCTGTAAGAGGATGTTATGAGGTACGTACCGGATTGATGGCCTCAAGCAGCGCGTCATTGTCATCCTTCATCATGGTCGCTGTGCCCACTAGGGCATCGATGTCTTCAATTATCATGGTTGTAATGTTGTCGTTATTCGTCACGATGGTCTAGGTATATTAGCGCTGACAGGGACCGTATTGGTTGAAGGACTTGCTTTGTAGTTGACTTCGCCGTTGAGGACGTTGACGCCATTGGCATAGTCGTTGGCTCTATTGATTGAGTTCGTGAGGTCTTGGATGGCAATGGTGATTTGCTCGATTGTTTGAGCAGCGAGAACATGAGTGATGGGCCCTGCAAGGATCGCTAGGGCGGAGAGATGGTTGATGAATTGCATGTTGAAGGACTTGAGATTGAAGTTCTCGGCTTTTTGATATGTGGAGAGGTAATGAGGAGAAGGAGAGCTTTTACATCCTCCTATGTAGGATTCTGGTTCCTTTATATATTACAGCATTGGCCAGATCAAGTGGAGTGGCCAGAGGCTTTTTTCCCAACATTGAAATATTGTCCGTCGAGGGTAGTCGTTGAGAAGGATGTGAACAATCGGCTGAGCAAGTGCGAAGGCAGCCTGCGTTTGCGGTTTACCTAAAGAATACAGTATCGGAATTGGAATACTATATCACGAAAACCAAGGGCCGGAAGAGGCAACTTGAAATGCAGTCAAGTGCTCTGATAGAGCACAGACACCAGGGATAGAATGGCGAGGTGGCCCAATACGACTTCTAAAGCAGGGCAAGCTCAGTGAAGGTAGCAAAGGAAATCATTTTCAGCTTAGATGAGGCTACACAACTATCGTGTCGTGCCCCTACCTGAAGCGATTATTGGTCGAGTGGACAAGATGCTCCAGCATGCCTTGCGTTCACTAATTCCAGAATCTTGGTCTCAACGAGAACAGCAAATTTGGCTTGCCTAATTTCAAAGGTTAGAATGGTTGACTGATCCGGCCCTTCCAGTACTAGCTCCTCTACCACCATTCCTAGCCCTCATACCGCCATCCTAGGTAGAATTAGAGAAAGTGGATCAATCGTGAGTATGGACCAAAGTTCGGGAATTAGAGCATCGTCATGTCGTTATTGTACGTAAATCGATGTGAAACGTTAAAGAGCAAAAGTCTACTTTTCCGAGGTCAAGACCCAAGCTCTTGCTTGTCCTATGTAACCAAAGCTCCATAGTCACCTTCCTCACATGACAACGCACCTAGAGCCTTCAGCATCAACATCCTTCAACTGAGTATATAGCGCCGAGGTCGAACTATTCAAAGCGTCATTCAGTAGCGGTACAAAAAGGTTGTTGAATAACGAATTCTTGTCCTGCTTCACATTATACATCTGGTCAAGGCTATCCCATCGGATGAGTACCACGCAAGCCTTCAAGCTCTCTTGCTCATGCTGGATCTCACTTACTGTCCAACCATGGGCCATTGACGTAGGAAGCTTATGCGGTGAATCGGCCGAGAGCAATTCTGCTATAAAACAGCCGACTTGCGATTCGAATGTGAAGAGATCTTCCTTGGGGAGTGAGGTTGGGAAAAATAGTGTCATCATCTCTGTGGGTCCTTGAGTAGAGATGGATCCTCGGAGCGATACGGAGTGGATGGCGAGAGAGGAGATGGCGATCCATGAGAGGGTGGCTTCAAAGGTTGGACTTGCTTTGAAAGCTTCTGCAGAGTGGATGTCGGCCCATACTTAGTACATTGTCAGCGGTGCTCGATTTTGGGCAAAAGTAAAGCAGCAAAAGGTAAAGCATACTAACGAACAGGTCTAGCTTGTGGGAAGAATGGAAGTCTCGACCCCAGAGCGTTTGTAACCAGCCTTTTTGCTCCTTGATATGGCGCATAGCTGTCTTCCATCTTTTTCCATCTTTTGAATAGCTCTTCTCGAAGGTACTGTCGTTGGGGATGGTGAAGGAGATTATTTGGACTATTTGCTCCATTCTGACTGAGGGAGTAGACGTAGATGAAGCACGAGGTTAAAAGGCTTCAGAACCAGGAGGAATGCTCAAATTTGCAAAAGATCTTAGGAATCATGTACCTGAGCGCAGTGTTCTTGTACATATAGAAACCTCTATGGGAGAAAAGATAGGAACGATTACTATTTCGAAGAAGAGCAGCGGGTTATAGGCCACTAGTGACGAAGATTATTAGAACACGCAAGAACACTCAGCCAAACCCCGATCCAGATTATCTCGAGATTGATTGAAGATGCTGTACTATTGGAACGTCTGAAGCTCGATGATGAATACGAGAAGCTGTGTTCTAGATAGCGTGCATCTATTCTTAGAGAATACAGCCCTGCTCGTGTAAGGCAACCATATTTCGCATGCCAAGTCTTGATATGATCGAATGTTGAAAGGTCAAAAAGACTTTGTCCCGAGGTTTCAAAGTGCAAAAAAATTGAGGATATACTGAATTCCGGTACCTAATAAGATATTAATAAGAGAGGTCTTGCGATATCGACAGATAACTCGTACCGGGAATCGAACCCGGGGCTGTCCGGACCATCAAATGGAAGTTTGAAAGCGGACGATGTTAACCCCTACACCATACCGGATGAACCATCAACAGAAAATTCATTGCTTAATTATTTATATGTTACAATTACTAATTGTACCACCTGCTACTTGGGGAAAGTCTGCCCCGAGAGAATGCCTTCGGATCCGGTCATTACATCTTCTACCGCACTAAGACAAGTTGACAGTCTGCTCCATAGTAGTGCCTGTCCTATCTAACCCATTAAACCTGTCATTAGTAAAGTACTCTACAGCTTTACGATCCTGTTGAGCTTTGGAGATTACCCCAGATTCTTTTCCAGACCCTGCTCAGCATTCAGTGTAGCTATTTCGCCTCAGGATCTAAGGACTACGAAAGTGCAAGTTTAACATTAGAGTGAGACAAGGCACCTGAGAGTTCGTTTGGAGCGAGGGTCATATGCATCCATACCCAGTAGGATAAAGCCGAAGGTGATGAAAAGTCCACTAGCGGGCAGTGCATGGGGCAGACTGATGTGCACATTCGTGATTCGGCACAAGGATTAGGAGACACGTCAACGGCGTCAAGCAGCCTGTCGCTACTCCGCGCCTCATGGCAGTGTTGGATTGAGGATTGGTCTCTGGCAGCAAAAGGTGAAGGAATTATTCGCCTGTGAATGCTTGGTTGTGCTTCAATCTGCATCCGGTTGCAACACAGCCAAAAAGAGCAATGTCCTTTGCTGTAAGCATAAACTAGCTAGAATAGTTGTCAATCTTTGTTAGAAAGAGGGGATCTACTTTGCGCCGTTGTCAGACTTGCATTTTTCTTTAGGTGCGCGCTTTCTCCGCCCCTCACCAATACCGCATCTGGCCTAGGCCCGAATCGACCCGTGTTCCTTTGAAGGCTTCCATGCTGCACACTACAACCATCCATCTGCAACCACAATCCCTCTTCCGAAATCAACACTTCGGGACATACCTTCCCGCTACTCAGGAAGTTAGCCCTTGGGTCTCATCTTGACATCTCTCATCTCCTGTCAAGTCCACTCCGGACGCGTGCCTTGACCCTCCGATCGGAAGACCCACAACAAGGCTGGCCTGATCCTTTGACCCCAGTCTTTCCTGTCAGCTTCAACTCTGTAGGTGCGTGATCCACAACCCTAGCTAAATTCCTACATCATCCACACATCACCCACCTTGACAGATTGCTGTCCGGTTTGATATTCTTATTTCGGCAATCCCGGAACACTCATGATCACCCTGCACTGCGGCTCTCACCGCTATCCTGACTGCATCCTCACTTCAACACCAACACTAATTTAGTCAGCCACAACAGGCCCAACATCTTCCACATCATCACCTTCGATACATCCTCCTTAACCACCTTCATTCTTTCGACCCCAAACCTGACGTGGGTTGGTCACCTGAACATCTACATTTTCACCGGTCTGACAAGATCATATCTAGTGACTGCACCAGTCAGGCAACGTCAAGATGACTACAATGGTACGTGTACCTATCCTTCCCTTGATGGCTCACTCAGTGGTCGTATCCTCCTCACACCACCCTCGCTCCTCTACCTACCTCATACACTGGCATTGATGCTGTACAACGTCGCCGTCTCTGGCCTTGCAGCCTTACCTAAAGAAATAACCCATGCTGCTTCTACAGAAAAGGCATATACAACATCTTCACTGATCCTCCTTGCTCTATTGTGGGACTGCAGACTGAATAGTGATGCTGACTTCTTGTGACACAGGATCTCCGCGTGGGGAACAAATACCGTATTGGACGCAAGATCGGCAGTGGTAGCTTTGGTGATATCTACCTTGGTGAGACAAGTCTTCTATCATTGCTGGACACAATCTAATATGCTTGAATAGGTACTAACATCATTTCCGGTGAGGAGATTGCCATCAAATTGGAGAGCGTCAAGGCCAAGCACCCGCAGCTCGAATATGAGGCCCGTGTCTACAAATCTCTTGCCGGAGGTGTCGGGATCCCCTTTGTTCGCTGGTTCGGTACCGAATGTGACTACAATGCTATGGTGCTCGACCTACTTGGACCCAGTTTGGAGGATCTTTTCAACTTCTGCAACCGCAAATTTTCCTTGAAGACCGTGCTACTGCTCGCGGATCAGCTCATCTCTCGTATTGAGTACATTCATGCCAAGTCCTTCATCCACCGTGATATTAAGCCGGACAATTTCCTCATGGGCATTGGAAAGCGTGGAAACCAGGTCAACGTGATTGATTTCGGATTGGCCAAGAAATATCGGGACCCTAAGACTCACTTCCATATTCCATACCGTGAGAATAAGAACTTGACGGGAACCGCACGTTATGCCAGCATCAACACTCATCTTGGTGTTGAGCAATCCCGTCGTGACGACATGGAATCCCTTGGATATGTCATGCTCTACTTCTGCCGTGGCTCCCTCCCCTGGCAAGGACTCAAGGCTGCCACCAAGAAGCAGAAGTACGACCGTATCATGGAAAAGAAGATGACTACACCCACCGAGGTCCTCTGCCGTGGATTCCCCAATGAGTTTGCCATCTACTTGAACTACACCCGTTCCCTCCGCTTTGATGACAAGCCGGACTACTCCTACCTCCGCAAGATCTTCCGTGACCTTTTCGTCCGCGAAGGATTCCAGTATGACTACGTCTTTGACTGGACCGTCTACAAGTATCAGAAGAACGCTCAGGCCATTGCGGCGAGCAATAACCAGACAGCTGTGCAGGAGGAGGAAGAGAAGCCAGCTCGTCGTCATGCTGGAGGTACGAACGCTGCTACCGCTGGCATTGCCCCTCCTCAGAACACATCCTCAGCTAGCAAACCAGGTGGTATTTCAAGCCAACGACGTAAAGTCATCGAGCGTGCTCCAGGCGGCGTCGACACCCCTGATACGAACCGTGCAGTAGGTGGAAGTGATAGGATGTGAGTTTGCCAATCATGGTTCCTGGGTAGGAACTCTCCTCCTCTGCCTTTGCCGTTTGATCGATGCATCACGCTAGGCGTGGAGGACTTTTGAAAACCGAATTCTAACTAATGCTATAGTCTTCGACGCTAGGCTACGCTCCTCTTCCAAGGGAGTCGCTAGTGCTGGTATCTCTGGGTCTGGCAACGGCGTCTACCGTGTGAAGCGGGAGAATCATAGCGGAAACGGCGGATGGTACTGATCAGTTTCTTTAGGTAACGATTTTGTTGGTTCATCCTTCGTGCCAGTGGATATCGTTACCGGTCGGCCTTTATCATCACCACTCACTATGGAGCTCCACCATTGGCCTCCAGGTATTTGCAACGACATACATGGATATTTCCATTGGGCTTGCACTCTTCATTCAACCGATTCATCTCATTCTGTTACCTCGGCTTTCCTTGTCTCGGCCGTCATCGATTTCACTGGAATCATTGTCGATCAAAGCGTTCGGACCCAGCAAACCTCACCGAACGCTTGATTGCTAAACCCTGTGGAATGACTCGGCACGAATGGCACGCCGCTGGCTAGCGATGGTTTTTCTTGCAGTGTTTCTCAAATGCAAGGCCGGCCTCAGCGTGGACAGACATACATCGGTATTGGACGCTTCCCAATAGACCCTTTTCAGGGCTCGTCGACACCTGCAATACCAACTTACGGCCTATTTTCCTACATTGCACTAATGCTCTTCTTCACCACCACACGCACCCCACCCCACTCAAGCAGCAGGTACCAATCATTTTCCATCATACACGATCATCATGCATTTTCCTTGGCATGCATAGCAAAACGAAAGTGTGAAACGCAGCGATTGGGAGAAGTTACAAGATTGTTATGTGACGGACGAAATGATAAAGCGAAAGATCTCATGGCTTTACTGGTGCTCAAAAGGCCGGTATGCAAGACAACGACCTTGATCTGATATGCTATGGACGGTTTCAAGAATGGCTAGTTTAAGTTCATGGATTAAGGGCCGCGTCCGGGGTGGTAATGCTGCTATGCTTGCTTCTTACGAGGATGAGCCTCTGAACTCAACAGGGCTTGATCAACGCTTTTGAGCTAATTTAGATACTCTCAATCAAGGCAGATCACAAGTCTTTCCCCTGAATAATTCATGAGTGATCAGCAATCGCGTAGACCATGTAGATTGCCACCAGTCCTATCTAGTAGTCTCTTGCAACATGAACAGCATTCAAGTTCCATTCCGGATCCCTCTTTCTCTCGCAGGTTGCGGGCTATATTGGAGCAAATGATATCTTAACTCGTTCCTTTCCCAGTCAGGTAAACTTTTTCTTTCCTAAAGCTTACTGACTGCGTCAGAGATCGAAATTCGTAGCCCATTGATTCCTCCAGTTCCTATTATTTGCCCCTTCCATTTGTACCTACGCTGCCTATATGTCACTTCATGCAAAGAATCTCTCTCGTCTCTTTCAAAAGAATTGCCCGCACCTGCCGTCCCATTTTTTCTATTTCTCGTCCGCAAAAATGTTAATCGACAAAAGCCGGCCTGTACTCCTTCTGCTAGACTGGGATGGTACACTCACCCTCAAATCTACCCTCGGACTAATCGCGTCTATATCGACACACCCGTCCATCCATCCTAATCTCTCAGGCTTGTCTAAGGCTTATAGCGACGATCTGAAAATCCATGAGCAGAAATACCGCCTTCAGAAGAAGGATAGAAAGTCCCTTAGCGACGAGTTGGAGTATCTCGAAAGCTTGGAGGCAGTGGAACGGGCGAGCATCCAACGGATTGAAGCATCTGACATCTTGAAGGACGTTAGCGCCAAGGATGTGGATGCTGCTGCTGATGACGCCGTTGAAAGGCGCAAGATTGTGCTGAGAAGGGGGTGGGAAAAGATGATTGAATCAGTCCAGCAACGCAATGGAAGAATGGGCATCATCAGCGTAGCATGGAGTGCGCACTTCATCTCCACCGCCTTGGCCCTATCTGCAACCACTCCACCCACAAAAAGGACGGCTATCAAGCTTGACGAAGTTGAGGTTAGAGCAAATGAAATCCTGGCAGATGGTTCAGGACGCCTGGACCGGTATTTTCTGAGTGAGGATAGGGGGATTTGGACGGGGGATGGGAAGGTGAGGGTTAT